TTTTTTTTTTTTTTTTTTTTTTTGTCTTTTGTCTTTTTCCGTGTCCGGCCACGGATTGCAACCCTCAGTGTTGCCCCCATACCGGACCGGGGACTGGCAACGGGATCGCAACCCTCGGTGTTGCTCCCGAGCCTCGCTCAGCCAGTGAGCGGGAACCGGTCTGTATGTGGGATCCGAACCCTCGGGCGGGAGCGCCGCCACGCTTCCCAAGCGGCACACTATCCAGTGCGCCACCGGGCCGGCCCACCTTCACCCATTTTGAATCAGGTTTTTGTTGTTGTTGAGTTTTAGGGGTTCTCTATATATTATGGATATTAATCGGATACATGATTTGCAAATATTTTCCCTTTCTGTGGGTTGTCTTTTTACCATGTAGATACTGTTTTTTGATGTATACATTTAAAAAATTTTCATGAAGTTCAATTTGTCAATATTTTTTGGTTGCCTGTGCCTTTGGTGCCATGTTTAAGAAATTGTTGCCAAATCCAGTGCCCTATATTTTCTTCTAAGAGTTTTATAGTTTTAGCTTTTAAATTTAGGTTTTTGACCCATTTTGAGTTAATTTTTGTGTATGATGTTAGGTAAGGGTCCAACTTCATTCTTTTGCATGTGGATGTCCCATTTTCCCAGCACCATTTGTTGAAAAGACTTTCCTTTCCCCATTGAATGATCTTGACCTTTGTCAGAAATCATTTGATTTTATTTCGGGGCTCTCTATTCTATTCCATTGTTCTATATGTCTGTCTTTATGCCAGCACACAGTATTTTGATTACTGTAGCTTGGAAGTAAGTTTTGAATTCAGGAAATGTGAGTCCTCCAGCTTTGTTCTTTTTCAAGATTGTTTTGGCTGTTTGAGTCCCTTGAGATTACATATGAAGTTTAGGATGGGTTTTTCTATTTCTGCAAAAATCATTGCGATTTTTATAGGGATTGCATTGAATCTGCAGATTGCTTTAGTGGTGTTGGCATATTAACAGTATTCATTTTTCCAATCCATGAAATTTCCCTTAATTTATGTCTTCATTAATTAGCAGTGTTTTATAGTTTTCATTATACAACTCTTTCACTTCCTTGGTTAATTCGTAAGTGTTCTTTTTGATGCTATTGTAAGTAGAATTGTTTTTGTAATTTCCTTTTTAGATTGTTCATTGTTAGTGTATAGAAATGCAAGTGTTTTTTGTGTGTTGAATTTGTATCCTGCTACTTTGCTGATTTCATTTTGTTAGTTTTAACAGTTGTTCTGTGTGTGTGTGTGTGTGTGTGTGTGTGTGTGTAATCCTTAGGGTTTTCTACATATAAGATCATATCATCTGTAAATAGAGATAATTTTACTTCTTCCTTTTCAATTTGAATGCCTTTTACTATTTTTTCCTGCCTAATTGCTCTGGTTAGAACTTCTAGTATTACGTTGAATAACAGTAGCAAAAGCAGGCATTCTTGTCGTGTTCCTGATCTTAGAGGAAAAGCTTTCAGCCTTTCATCATTGAGTATGATGTTCACTGTGTTTTTCAAATATGGCTTTTATGCTGAGGTAATTTCCTTCTATTCCTAGTTTGTCGAGTGTTTTTCTCATGAAAGGTTGTTTGAGTTTTGTCAGATGCTTTTTCTGCAGTGATTGACATGATCATGTGCTTTTTTTTTTTTTTTTTCATTTTGTTAATATGGTATATTATGTTGATCGATTTTTACATGTTGAACCATCCTTGCATTCCAGGAGTGAATCCCACTTGGTCATGATTTATAATCCTTTTAATATGCTGCTGAATTTGGTTTGCTAGTATTTTCTTGAGAATTTTTACATCAGGGTTCATAAGGGATATTGGCCTGTAGTTTTCTTTTATTGTAGTATCTTTGTTTGGCTTTGATATCAGAGTAATGTTGGCCTCAGAGAATGAATTAGGAAGTGTTTCTTCCTCTTTAATTTTTTGGAAAAATTTGAGAAATATTGGTGTTAATTCTTTAAATGTTTGATAGAATTCAGCAGTGAAGCCATGAGCTCCAAGGGTTTTCTTTGTCAAGAGATTTTTGATTACCAATTCAGTCCCCTTACTAGTTCTATAAGTCTACTTAGATTGTTAGGTTTTGTGTTTCTAGGAATTTGTCCATTTCATCTAGGTTACTCAATTTGTTAGTGTACTATTATTCATAGCATTCTCTGACAACACTTTTTATTTCTGTAAAGTCAGTAGTAATGTCCTCACTTTCTTTTCTGATTTTCGTAATTGGATTCTTCTCTCTTTTTTCTTAGTCATCTAGCTAAAGGTTTGTGTTTTGTTGATCTTTTCAAAGAACCGACTTTTGGTTTCATTGATTTTTCTCTATTGTTTTTCTATTCTGTGTTTTGTTTATCTCTGCTCTGTATGGCTGTTTTTTTATCCTCGTCTCAGTATGAATTGAGGGCATAGTTTTTTTGGTTTGAGGCAGAAGGACCCTGTCTCCTCCTTACCTTGTGTCTTTCCTCACTGCTCTGTACCCCAGGGGTGCTCCTTGTGTTTGTGTCTACTATCTGTGTCTTAAACCATAATTTTAAAGAAGGCTTTATAATAACCTATGAAAATCCTTTATGGATTTGCTTATTCTAGATTATTTCATATAAATGGCATCATATCCTATGTGGCCTTTTGTGACTGGCTTATTTCACTCAGCACAATGATTTCCAGGTTCATCCATGTTGCAGCACGTGTCAGTATTTCACTCCTTTTTATATTTAATAGTATTCCAGTGTATGTATAGACACATTTTGCTTCTCCATTCATCTGTTGGACATTGGATTGTTTCCACCTTTTGGCTATTGCAAATAGTGCTGCTATGAACATTGGTGTACAAGCTTTTGTTTGAACACCTGTTTTATTTATTTATTCATTTTTGGTGGCTGACCGGTATGGGGATCCAAACACATGACCTTGGTGTTATAAGTCTATGCTCTAACCAACTGAGCTAACCGACCAGCCCTGAATGCCTCTTTTCAATTCTTTTGGGTAAATACCTTGTAACTTATTTTTATATCTGTTTTTAAAATTTCTGCATTTTTCTTTCTTCCCTTAAATGTTACTTCATGAATGTGTAATATTTTTGTGATAGAAAAAAGTAAAGCTTCTGTTTCCTTCCTGCTTGTGTTTGTCCAGCGCTGGAACCCTGGCTCTAGAGGGAATCAGGTGGTCTCAGGCTGGGAACAAGCTGGATGGGTTCATGAAGCGAGGCAGGAGCCCTGGTCTGTGTGTTGCAGTGACAAGTGGTGTTTGTTTCTGCCTTTTGCAGAAGTGAAAGACCGTGGGTTTGAGGTGGCCTCCACTTCCCCCAAAGACAGGGCCTCTGGCAGTAACCCTGAGCAAGACGCTGCCCCGTTCCAGGAAGGCTCAGGGACCCGCGACCAGCCGGACGCCGTGTCTAGTTTGCCCACACCCAGTGACATCTTTGTGTCCTACTCCACCTTCCCAGGTGAGCACATCAGGAGAGCTTTTCCTGCTAGCCAGTGGGTCTTCTGTCTGCCCTTGGGGCAACCATGTTGTGAAAGAAAATACCAGGATGTGAGTCCTTGTTCTGCCTCTTGCGACCTGTGTGATCTTGAGCAAGTCACTTCATCTCTCTGAGCCTGAGCTCCCAGCGAGGCGGGCGAGGTGGGCGAGGATGCACAGTTTAACAGGCACACGCCCTTGGGTTTGTGTGCCTCACTTGCCTCACCCTTGCCCTGCCTCAGCCTTCTCATCTTTTTTTTTTTTTTTTAAAAGATGACCGGTAAGGGGATCTTAACCCTTGACTTGGTGTTGTCAGCACCACGCTCACCCAGTGAGCGAACCGGACATCCCTATGTGGGATCCGAACCCGGGGCCTTGATGTTATCAGCACCGCACTCTCCCGAGTGAGCCACGGGCCGGCCCAGCCTTCTCATCTTTAAACTGGGACTAGTAGCTGTACCTCAGGGGTTGTTGTGGGGGTTAAACAAGGTGGCTGGCACATGACTGAGCACAGTGCCTGGCACTTAGCAGGTGCAATGGGTGGTAGCTTCCTTCCTTTTTTATCCATTGGGTGAGTCACTTGACTTCTCCAAGCTTTGGTTTCCTTGTTGGGGAAACAGGAATCACAGCCAAAGCCAGAAGGTGGACACGAGGATGACATAAGAGTGCGAGTAGGACAGAGCCGCAGGGATGTGGGCTGCTCGGGCTAGGTGTGTAGATGGGCCAAAGTCTGGAGGTCGCCTGAGCCTGCATGCGTGGGGAGGGGGTGGCTCTCCCGCAAAGTTCAGCCTTTCTCTGTCCAAAGGTTTTGTCTCCTTGAGAGATCCCAAGAGTGGCTCCTGGTACATCGAGGTCCTGGATAGCGTCTTGGAGAAGTGGGCTCGCCACGAAGACCTGCAGTCCCTCCTGCTCAGGGTGAGCGCTGCCTTTCTCCTCGGAGGAGAGGGGAGGCTGCTGGATGGGCAGCGTGTCCTCCTCCAGGCAGGGTAGGGGGCGAGCAGGGCTAAAGCCCTGTCTGCTTCTGAGTCTGGGCTTGCCGCGAGAGTCGGAGCTTTTGTGTCTCCTTATGAGACATTACTGCCTGTGGTGACATTGGTTCTCTTTCAAAGGTTGCCTCTCCCTGTCTCCTCTAAGGTCTCTAGGCCAACTCCTCCCATTCCCCCACTGATGGAGCCCGTGGTCAGTGCATGGGTGGGTTTCACAATGGTCAGTGCATTTCCCCCCATCCCCTGCCCCCCAGGCAGGTCATGGGGGGTCCCTCCCTGCACCATTGGCCTCATTGTGTGGTCTTCTATTCCTGGCCCTCAAGAATCATAAATCCCTCATTAGTACACCCCCTTCTTGGGAGGCCCCAGTGAGAGAACAGACAGGGAAGGGTGGCCTGATAGGGCGTAGCCCAACTATATGAAAACCCCACTCAGAGCAGGTGCATCCTCCAAGGATCTAGAGCCTCATTGCTGCCTTTGGGAAATGGCCCACGTGGGTCTCTCCTCTGCTCAGGTATTCTGTGCCATTTGAAGGGGCTCTAAGGGCTGGGACCACTCCTTGCTCCTGAGCCCCATGCATCACTGAGCAAGAACAGAGGAGAGAGACACGCCAGCACAGGTGGCCACCTAGCACAACTCCAGGGATGCCAGGCACCAAGGCCCCGGTGAACGTGCAGGCTGGGGCATGGGACAGTCAAGGTTAAGTAGCACATCCAGCTCCTGGTTCTGATCTCTTTTCTTGGCTTTTCTTCATGTACACATTTCAGTCTGATTTGAATTTTGCGATTTTTTGAATTTTGAAACTTTGAATTTTGAGTTTTTTAAACTTGTAATTGAGGTACCTGTTCTTTAAAGCTCCCACTCAAGGAGGCTGCAATCCGAGTTCTTTTGAAAGTGCTGATTTAGTGGCCATTCCCCCAGCCTCTCTTTTGAATTCTTACTTCAATTAAGAGAACTGAACTCACAGACCTCCCTGTGGTTGTGTTTTCACAGGTCGGTAAAACTGTTGCGGACAAAGGGATTTGCAAACAGATGCCTGGTTGTTTTAATTTCCTTCGGAAAAAATTTTTCTTTAAAACTGATTGAGGCAGGGCCCCTCACCTGCCTTCTCTTTCACCAGAGAACCTTCGTGCTCCATGTCTGGAGGTGGCTGAGGCTGGTCTCTTCTACAACTCATTGATTTTGTAGCCTGTAGAGGGTCTGCTGTTTCCCAGCAGGTAGCAGACAGGCTCTTAGCAGCTTCCATATAGGAGACAAATGCTGAGCAGTGGAGGAAGAGGTACGAAGAATGCCATGGATTCCATGTGGCCTCTTCCCCAGTGGCTGGTCGCAGGTTAGGACTGTGGACTGTCACCCCGTGTCCTCTCTAGAGCAGGGCTTAACCTCCACACTGTTGACAGTCCTTTGTTTCAGGGCTGTCCTGTGTGTTGTAGGATGTTTAGCAGCATCCCTGGCCTCTACCCACTAGATGCCAGTAGCACCTCTCCACAAGCAGTGCCAACCAAAAATGTCAACATTGCCAAATATGCCCTGGGGGACAAAATTGCCCCCACTTGAGAACTACTGATCTTTAGGGGGTTTTGGCTACAAACAAACCAGCATCTGTCTTAGATCAGCAAGCTTGGGGCTACTAGAGTCTGAAGAGCTGGAATCTGTGAATTTTAAATGAAGTTTTAAAAATTGCTGATTTTTCTTGTATTGCATTATTCTTAAAAAAAAAAATAAATCTTAGGTGATGGCCTATTTTTCCCCTCATTTTGCTCCAACTCTTGTTCTTTCTTTTAAAGGAGACTTGCTTTTTTCAAAACATTTCCCCTTGTCTTATTTCATGTGATCCCTACTCTATCCCAGGAAGGCACTAGGGTGAGAACCGTGTGGTCAAGGAGGTTAAGTCTCTGTCCAAAGGAACACAGTTATCCCATGGAGGGACCTGGCTGGCACCAAGTCTTCCAGGTCCCAGCCCCTGCCTCCCATGTGCCTTACTTGCAGAAGGACCCCTGGACTGCAGTGTGACCATGCTGTGCAACAGTGAAATGTTGGGCTTTCCCAGAGAAGGCCCCGTCCCTGATGTCTTTTAGGCTGTCCTGACTCTGGGCCGTTTTTTGTGTTTAGGGCCCTGGACGTTAGGGAGGTTTGCTAATGAGACTTTCACCAAGATGTGATTCATATGGCTGTCACTTTATTATTTTTTGCTTCTGTGACCTTTCCAAGCCTGAAACAGCTCTGGAGACTTCTTTTGGTTAGTAATTTTCAATCACCTGTAGGACACGCACAAGAAAATAATGAAGTTTACCTAACAGCAGAGCCATGCTGGCAGCTTCCCGTCTTTGTCCTTGGGCTCCCCGCTGCTCATAAATCACAGATGGCCCGTGCTGCGGTACCTCCTGCCTGAGGAGTTCTTACGATGTTTGGGAGAAAAAGATGTCATCACCGCTTTTACTGACCTGATGGGTCTGGGTTTTCCTATAAAGAGGGGTCTTGGCCTAGAGTCCTGTTTGGGCTTCTGGGTTTGGGGGCCTGTGAACCCTTAAAAAGTATATGCTCAATGTGTGGATGGGCATGTTTGTAGATTTCATTTTTTTCTCAAATCACAAGGCTGTTCGCAAGGCTGTGTTATGCATTGTGGATGGGGCTGTTACCTGCTTTCAAAGGCTGTTTAGCATTATCTAGTAAACATTTTAACATGCCAACTCCGTGATCCGGTGAAGCCTCCTGATCTCTATAGCGTAAATACTCAGACCAGTGTGCAGGAATGTATGTCCAAGGGAGTTCATTGCAGCAACATGAGAGTGAAAGACAGGAGACGGGTGAAAGCTTCACTTATTATATTCACACTGTGGAAACTGTTCAGCTGTTCAAAGACTGACATGGCTGTATGCAGTGACATGTAAAATGTGATAGGGTGTTAAGTGAAAAAATAAGTTGCAGAACAGTATGAAGAGTAATATCCTATTTTTGGTTAGAAGACAGTATATCTCCATATATATGTATATATAGAGATATTTTAAATATGCACAAAAAGTCCGGAAGACCACACACCAAGCTGTTAACAATGATTATCTCTGGAAGGTGGAATTGGAGATGTAAAACAAGGGGCAGGGAGACTTCTACTTTTTTACTTGATACACTCCTCTATTGTTTTAATATTTTTACAAAGAGTATGTATTGCCTCCTGGACTAGTGACTGCTGAAGGTTCACGTGTTGCTGTCATTCAATGAACATTTGTTGAAAGTCTGAATGCCTTTGGCCACCTGTCTCTTCCTGTTCCTGTACCTCTCACTGTCAGCTTCCTGACCTTGCTTGTCACCTGTCTGGGTTTATCCAGGCAGGCACTCCCAAGCGCCCCCAGGGCTGCGACTATGCGTGACTCCAAGCTGCTGCACATGGTGCACCTCAGGGCTGGGACCACTGCACAGTTTCACTAGCCCCTCTGCAGCTGTTGGGGGCAGCCTCCACCAGAGGACAGCTGGCTGCCTGGAGGCCCCATTCCTGGGGCCCGTTCCTGGGCATCAGTGCCTGCCCTGGATGCTCTCCTGTCAGTGCAGGGCCTCTGCCCAGCTGCCTCACAAGGCCTGTGTTCCCCAGGCATCCCCTCTGCCATCTGGCTATGCTCTTGGCTCTGGCCTACTCTGTTGTGCTTGTGTCTGTGGCTGGGAACAGCTGATGCTAGGACAACAAATCAGGACAATTGCCCCCAGCCCCTGCTTTGGGCCCACAAGGTGCTACCAGGACCAGCTACAGGGTGACTCATGCAGCAGCTGGGGCTGGAAAAGGATCCTAGATCTGGCTGGGAAAAGGCCCCTAAGCATCTTTCCATTCTTTTTTTTTTTTTAAAAAAAGATGACCGGTAGGGCCGGCCTGGCCCGGTGGCGCACTGCTATAGTGCGCCGCTTGGGAGCGCGGTGGCGCTCCGCTGAGGGTTCGGATCCCACATACAGACCGGTTCCCGCTCACTGGCTGAGCGAGGTGCGGGAGCAACACCGAGGGTTGCGGTCCCGTTGCCGGTCCCAGTCCGGTGCGGGCGTGACACTGAGGGTTGCGATCCGTTGCCGGACAGGAAAAAAGACAAAAGAAAAAAAAAAAGATGACCGGTAAAGGGATCTTAACCCTTGACTTGGTGTTGTCAGCACCACGCTCTCCTAAGTGAGCTAACCGGCCATCCCTATATAGGGATCCGAACCCTTGGCCTTGGTGTTATCAGCACCACACTCTCTCAAGTGAGCCACGGGCCGGCCCTAGCATCCTTCCATTCAATCAGTCTTCGGCCAGGCTCCTTTGAAATGCTGGTGGTACCTCAAAAGTTGGACTCAGATTTCTCTCTCCCAAAATCGAATCATGGCTTTCCCCCAATTTACCAAAAACACCCTTCAAATTAATGGCCACTCTCTTCTTGATTTTTTATTTTTCTCCAACAAACTTTTGGAATCTCTGACGCCTGTGACCACTTGTTGGCAAAGAAATGCCAGCAGACAGACAAATGAACAAGGAGCTGGCAAGTCTTAATGGGAAAACTTGCAAGCAGCCACCTGCTTATTTTGACAGTATAGTTTTCCTCCTGTGACCACATGCTCATGGCTGCAATTTCATATTTGGTTTTATAATGCAGTGTCAGTTTAATTTAACAGTTCTCTGCTAATTAAACTTAAAATAATGAAATCTGATGCCAGCTCTCCCTTCTTTGGGTGCCCTGCCACAAACACCACAACTCCCACTTGCTTTGGCTCCTAAAAATTTTGGGGAGTCTTGGTCTAGTTCAAGTTCCATTTGACAGAAGAGCAACATGGAGGGGGGGAGGTTCAAATAGCACCCCAGTTGGCATAGACCATCCTCTCCCCTCCCAGCACCCATCTCTAGGCAGTGTCTTCTCCACCCTCCCCCAGGCACCACTTCCTTGTGACAACTCTTCTTGTTCTGGCTGCTTCCACCTACTGCTACTTGTATCCATGGCTGCTCCCAAGATTGGTGCCCGTTATTTTTTAATAAATAAGTTTTATGGTTATTATAAACAAGTGTGTGTTGATTGTCCAAACAAAAAAAAGGAAATTTAGCTTGTGTGGAAGCTCATAAGAGAAAGCTCTCTGGGGNCCCACTTGCTTTGGCTCCTAAAAATTTTGGGGAGTCTTGGTCTAGTTCAAGTTCCATTTGAGAGAAGAGCAACATGGAGGGGGGGAGGTTCAAATAGCGCCCCCCAGTTGGCATAGACCATCCTCTCCCCTCCCAGCACCCATCTCCAGGCAGTGTCTTCTCCACCCTCCCCCAGGCACCACTTCCTTGTGACAGCTCTTCTTGTTCTGGCTGCTTCCACTTACTGCTACTTGTATCCATGGCTGCTCCCAAGATTGGTGCCCGTTATTATTTTTTTAATAAATAAGTTTTATGGTTATTATAAACAAGTGTGTGTTGATTATCCAAACAAAAAAAAGGAAATTTAGCTTGTGTGGAAGCTCATAAGAGAAAGCTCTCTGGGGACATATTCACAAAAACAGGACCACCTCAGCCCTATTTGCTTGGGACTGTCCTAGTGCAAAATAGAAAGTCATGCATCCTAGAAAACCTCGCAGTCCCAGGCAAACCAGGATGGTTGGTCGCCCACCAGAATAGCTCGGGGACCTTTCAGGGGCACTCATTTCCAATAATTAAGGCCATGGGAGTCTCAAACTACCAGATTTTGGGCTTTGCAGATAAATAGGACTTTATCACATGAGATGATGGGGTGAGGGCCTACACACGAATATGCAAAAATAAAATACCCACTAATCCTAAGGAACCCGCTCTTG